AAAAACACCACCACCACCAACAACAACAACAGCACCACCACCACCACCAACAACAACAACAGCAACAACAGCAACAACAGCAACAACAGAAACAACAGCAACAACAGCAACAACAATAACAACAATAACAACAAAAACAACCACAGCAACAGCAACAACAGCAACAGCAACAACAACAACATGTTGATCTTCCTGAACAAAATCCTCTCTGGGAAAAGGTAAAGCTTCCAACCCAGCCCCAGCAACAAAATGTAGTAATGGAATCAATTTGGGACAATCAGCTAAGCATTTGCAGGTTTCCTAAAATGGGGGTGCCCCTGTTCATCATCCATTTTCGATTGGGATTTCCATTCTAAAACCATCCAGCAAGCTTGGGGATCCCCCGTGACATCCCATGACTATGGAAACCCCCATGACACGCCAGGTCAATGTGCTCACGTCGTCCGGACCCAGGGGGAAATATCGAAAAAAATGCCACGGAGTCGACAGAGAAATCGGCCTGATGAACAAAGATAAACGACTGATGCTGATACATATGTTGTTTTTTGGTATAAATGGTCAGTTCGAAATGTCGACTTATATATTACATCATAAAACGTCTTTAAAATCGTCAAACATGGCTTTAACCTCCTAAAAAATACGGTTTACAACTATGCGCTCTGGTGTCCTGGTTCCCACAGGGCATTGCTGCCATGAATTATGGATGACAATACAGAAAGGTACAAACAAAATACAACTTGTTGCAGGGTATCTATGATTATCAATGAATCTGGGTGAATGGAAATGATGCTTCGTAGAGGGAAATCAGTTGATTCCAGTGATCCACATCACCTGGATAGCGCTTTCAATTTTATGTGCTCCCTTCTATGTTGGCCCTAAAGTATATACATATTTGAAAGCAACATTTTGTTGGGGAGATCCCTCAAGATTCTTGCAGGTTTAAGCGCTAAAATTGTTTAGGGCAAGCAACAAAAAGGGCAAAAAAATACGCTCAATCGCAATGTTTGAGAAAAAATGGGGGCGAAGCGTTTGGGGGGTCCTGAAAATGACCCTATGAACTTCAGATAGGTGAACCAGTCAATTTTATCCATGCGAATGTCCATTCCACCCCTAGTGAAAGTATACGAAAGTATTATAAACCACTTGCCAAGCAGTACAAACAACTTGCTAGTTGACCCACATCCAATGAAGGTAGCACTGATGCATACTTCATCCCACACCCCTTTAAAACAATCTGATGCCAGGGTCTTATCGCACTGAATTAGCGCTGGTATGGGACTGTTCATTGGGTTCACATAAAATCCATTGGTTTAGTTTTCCCCACCTGCCAGATGAGGGTCTCTGGATTTGGATAAAGGTGCAACTACTTCTTGTTCTTCTTTTCTCCTTCTGCCAGTTCGTCGGGACTGTTGGCATGAACGAATCCGAGCCATATGGCGAGCTCCGGATGCAGCAGGCTTGGACCCGAGCCATATGGCCAGCTCTGAATGAGGCTGGGCACGCCTGGATCTGAACCCTATCCCGAGCTCCGGTTGCAGCTGGGCACGCCCGGACACGAACACATGCCAGAGAGAATTCCAGAGAGAATGCCAGAGAGAATGTCAGAGATAGAATGCCAGTTAGAATGCCAGATGGAATGCCAGATACTACGATAGAATGTCAGAAAAGATGCCAGAATGAAAGAATGGCAGAATAGATGCCAGAATGTCAGAAATTGTCAGAATATATGCTAGAAAGTATGTCAGAATAGAGGCCAGATAGAATGTCAGATAGAATGCCAGATAGAATGTCAGAGCATATGCCAGAAAGAATGTCAGAATATATCTGCCATAGATACTTCCACGTGGTATATCAGAAACTATGTCAGAATAGTGTGTCAAGGTGGGGATCACTCGAAGTAAAGTATTTTATGTTTTCCTTGCTTGTGTTTGCGTTGTTGTACATGTTACACGTCATTTGTCACGTGGAAAATTGGGCTGACCAGCTCAAAATGAAGCTTTTCCGTTTGCCATATACTGTACATACATAATATATGTATATGTATAGTATATATATACATATTATATAATATATACATATAATATAATACATATATATATATAATATATATAATATGAACACACATATATATATATAAACATATATTATGTTTTATATAAAGAAACATGTCAACAAAAACTGAGTTTTCTTGGCGCATCGGTTCCGAGGCGCGAGGCAAGGAGGTCCAACGGATGCCTCGGTGATCGGTGGCCGGAAACATGTCCAGAATTGTTATGATCTTATCAGTTTTTTATTCTGTTTTATATGGATTTATACGGTTTGATATGGATTTATGATGGCTTCATGATGTTACATATCATGTTTTGGTTTTGAGGTTCTAATCATTCTAATCTCATCCTGTTATATCTCATGAAAACAAACCTGATTGAATATTGGATCTGTTCATTTTGGGTGCGCACGTGAGGGGTTGTTAACATCAGGGGAAGGGATTCTCATGGTTTCATCGCAATTATGTTTGGTGACCATCAGAATAAACCACCTTTGGATCCGCTGGAACAACCAGACTGGACGAATGCGATGAATATTTGAGATTAAATCCATGGAAATGGGATGAACATTAGGGTGAATCAGCATGATGGTTAGGAAGGGAAGCTATCCCAGAATTCCTTCGATGTCAGGTTGGACAATGACAGTGTACAGTCACGGACAGAATTATGGAAACAAAAAATCAATTTACAGGCGCCGCCTGTCTATGATAGAAAAGTTACGAACCTTTTTTTTTCCATAATTATTATTGTTTCCATAATTATTTTTTTTCCATAATTCTGTCGGTGACTGTATGTCCATCGATTCGCAATTTGAATGCATTTTAAGGGGGAATATTGAATTATAGAAAATATGTGTCTGAAGATCTGGTATATGCCCCTAAGTCTTCCATTGATATACATAATATCATGTGATGTTCGCAATTTGAATGCATTTTAAGGGGGAATATTGAATTATAGAAAATATGTGTCTAAAGATCTGGTATATGCCCCTAAAGCCTGCCATTGATATACATAATATCTGGATGTTTCCTTTTGCCAAGCCACCAATTGGGTTGATACTACATACTTGCATTTGCATACATATTTCCATAACCCCCAAAAAAAACGGGTTTGAATTGTGGATCCATGACATGTCCAACAGGTGGAGCCCCAAACATTAATTATGGAAAAAATACTTATGGAAAAACCGGTCAATCTGCCCTAGCCCCCTGATTTCACAGGAAAAATCAATTATGGAAATAATGGCCACCTCCAAGAATTATGGAAAAAAAAAGGTTCGGATCACTATGGGGAAAAATCCAATTATGGAAAAATCGGACGCAGGCGCCGCCTGTCTAAGTTGAACGTTTTTTTTCCATAATTCTGTCGGTGACCATAATTCGGACACTGTAAATATACAAGAAGAGATTATGATGCCAGGTGGCAACGCCTGTGACATCATTGAGTGGGTGGTTTTGAATATGTATTTCAAAAGTTAATCAATAGGTCTGGATCATCTTTTGATATTCCTAATGCTCCACCACCCCAAATTATCCGAAATCCCAATTCGAGGGTCTGGCCAAAGCCTGGGTCAAGGTTGGAAAGAGCTTCAGACCCCAGCATTTGGGCCAAGGCTGGTCCCATGTTTTTTCGATTTTTGTTGATGGTTGTTCATGCATATCATCATTGTATGTGGAAGATAGAACAGACTTTTTCAGAACATTTCAGAACACACATGTTTTATCATGTTTTAAACATCCGGTAGATGATTCGATCATGTACCTGTTGAAATCGGGGTTACCGGCGGGTGAGATTGCCAGAGGGTACCGGGATGGTTGCATCAGCTATGGGTCTCGGGATGACTAGACCTACTGATGGATCCAGTGTTGACATCAGCGGCAAGGATGGCTTGGATTTAACCGGAAACTTAAAGGAACATCAAACATAGAACACATTGGGGTCACTGAATATGGTGTTGCTGTTATCTGAAGCCACACAAAATGGATAGTCAATGAATGTCAATGATTACCCCATTTGATTGGTGGTTTCTAAGATATTGTCCGCACTGTTTTTGTTACATCGCAAATGACAAATATGTTTCATGGGTGTGTTTCACAGCCAAGAGGTCATACTATGGATGGTTGCGAAATCTTGCACCAGTTGGTAGATGGTTTATCGGTTTATCCCATTATGATCCCGTCCTTTACAATGTTTATCAATGTTAATTCCCAATAGTTGCCAATAGTTACCAAGATAGTTACCAACTGGTGCAGGATTTTGATGGATTTTGTGCATCCACAGTCAACAAACATGTTTTTTTTTTTCAGCACCGCGTGCGTTCCGAACGGCAGATGGGCGGTTCGCTCGACTTCGGTGAGGCTGGCTGGACCTGGATGGGAAGTAACAGCAATGGATGGCAGGGCTTAATCGACCCAGGGCAGGTGCCGGTTTCAGTTTGAAGCAATCCAAGAACTGTGCAATGCGGGTGGTATCAGTTATTTTTGGTACTGGTACCCCAAAGTGAGACGTTGGTGAATCCTAAACATGATGGTTCCTTGGCAATTTGGCGTGGTCGCCACTCATTCCGGCTCCATAGGTGTTTGTCCGAACATGAGTTTAGAACATGTAGAAAGTTGCACCTGAGACCAAGCTCTTCAACCTGAAACTTGATGGAAAATGGTGGGAGCACCCAGCACACCCCATTGGTCTGACGTTGCGTATTCGCAGGTTATGGAAAGAGAACTGCAGACGGCAGACGGGTTTGCTACGCAGTGCTATACACTGTACACGGTACACAAAAACACCCGCCAAAATCAACCAAGCGAACAAGAACAGACCTGAAGAAAAGTTTTCAACATTTCTTGAGCATTCTTATTGCGCTTAAACTGACTAACCCATATCTAAAATACACATTGACAAACAAATTGTACACATTTGCATCCCAGTGGTCTCACATCGCCTTTTGCACCGGTCATGGGAGCAGCGACTTCTGTCCTCTTCTTGCCTTGTGAAGAGCTCCCTCAAGCTCACTGGGACGCCTTGGAAACGTCGCTTGGTTGGCCAAGATGGGCATATGAAATATGTGATGATATGATACCTCTATGTGGTTATTCTAATGGGGAAATCATTGTAATCCAATGGGATTTGGGGCTACGCTATTTTCAGACAGACCCATATCTGAACATATGTGGGATACTCCCAAATAACATATACCTTCACGGGGATTCACGATTTCATGTTCTTTTAGTCTAACTTGGGAAGCCTAGCAATCCACCATTGATAGTCTGCTTTACATGAAATAAGCAGCATTTGTTGAAATTTCATGTTCAGGAGACACCCAGAGTGGAATAGAGTGGAGGGGTAGTGAGTTTGCCTCACTTGGTCAAGCATGTACCGGAAAGTCCCAACCTTTTAAGATCTCGGGAAGGTAGGAGAAGGTAGGAGATCTTGGAAATCTCAGTCTCCGTGTGGCTGATCTCCCTGCCGTCCAAGGTATTGTCGGCGTCCCAACTTTCATTGCGTGCGCATGGACCACGGTGCACCAACTTCCGAAGCTTTCGAGATCTGGAAAGGTTGGGTCGTTTCGGTCGTGCGCAACTTGCAGACTGGCAACCGTGTGTCAGCTGGGACACTCAAAATTGCGCCCTGGTTGTGGTTTAGTCATGACGTGTTTTTTCAACATCTGAAAACTGGTGTTTTGCCATGTTTCACTAAGTGTATCATTATGTACTGTATCTATATATGTCATACATCGGAGAGTATTAAAATTCTTGGGTGGGTAGCCAGATATGGCATATGCCAGACCTTTTGGAAGCCATTTCCAGCACGAGCTGGTTGGTGTCTTTACGACTGACAAGACTGGCTCAATGACTTGATTTAGTTCAAACATGAGCACTTTTTTGGTGGTTTGGAACATTTTTGATTCTTCCATATACCCTCTGGTAAATAAACATAGACCCTGAAAATCACCAATTTTTAATGGAAACTAATCTTCCAATTCCTATCTGCCACGGTCTATGTTAATTTACCAGAGGGTATTGGCAAGTTCATAATCCCAAGTGACGAAGTCCATCATTTTTCAGAGTAGGTATACCACCAGCAGTTCTTCATGACATGATGGAATTGGGATCCCAATTGGTGAATTTTTCATGGCCCAGGTTCTGTTGCTGGGCTCAAAAGGATCTGACCTTGACCGGAATCACATCCTGCAACTCTGTGAAGCCATCAGGAATTTGGTCGAAAACTTGGGAGGGATGTTTTTTTTTAAGAACAAAATAGAACAAACTTTACTTTTAGATGATGGATCTACAGCATGACTGGTGGTTTCAGCCGGTTTGTTTCTTGAGCCTCAGGAACATATACTGCCTGCAAGTGAGATAGGAGTTATCGGAGGGTCCAGTTTTTTTGATTTCCTATCTCATGAGTAAAGTATTGTTTTTGCCCTTTGAAGGTGCCAAACTCCTATCTCATGTGGTTCTATTAGTCATTTGAAGGATACCTGCATCAAGTTTTGACATTCCCACGGTTTATGGTTTTGAACGCTATAGGCTACAGTTTGGACACATGAGATAGGAGTCAGGGCTGATTTGGGGTATGTTCACATAACACATGTAAAAATCCATGTCTCAAAAAACGTCATATACAACATCATATAATACCATATCTCATATATTTAATGTCATATAATATCGCATAATTCACATTTAATATCATACAATTATATAATCATATATATATAATTATATATACACAATATATATATATATATGCGAATAGAGTGTAAGCTACGGACCAATGTACATTATCACATAATTCACTCTAAGACTCGAAGCCAAAGGGTTGTGACAATCGCCCTTTTGGCTCAAGGACCCACTGCAGGAACAGAGAAAAGGAACGCCATGCGGAAGCTGTCGTCGTTGTGAAGTCATCATTGGAACAACAAACATCAACATCAATCACTGGAACATAATCGGGCAGGCAATCCCCGATTCGCAGGTTATCAGCCGTAGGACTCCTACGGAGCCTACGAGCGGGTAGCCGCGGGCCTTACAGATGACTGAACAGGATAGCAGCGATAATGCATTTTCTTTCTCTGGACATGCCGTTGCACCAGCTGCCGGCACGCAGTCAAATTCTTCACAGAGTATCGACACTGGTGGAAGCGATGCCTCAGAATTGAGAACAAGCCAACCCAGGCGACATCTGGTTGCTCCTAGAGGGAGACAAATTTCGACAATGCAAGCAATTGAAGATAGGGACAGCACACCTGGAAAGAGAAGATCATCTGCACGACAATTGTCGCCTCCGATGACTCCAAGGACTAAGGCAAAGACTACGTCGTCGAATCCGCCTTCACCGATTCAGGACGCTACTCCATCAGGGACAGGATCTTATCAGCAAGTGAACGCCCCGTCAAGTGGTAGCGACATCTTCACTGCCTATCAGAGTGAGTTATCTGAATACAAGACATCACTGGAAAGGGCCACTGAAGAAGAATCCGTACTTCAGGCAAGATTGAGCGAGACGACAGCATATGCCTATCAACAATTTAATTTCCTGGAAAGCACCACTCATCAAGAGATGATGTCGATGACCGAACAACTCCAGATGCTGAACTTCGAGTTACAGGCTGCACAACAGGAAGATGAAGGTGCGACCTACAGGATCGAAGAGTTGGAAAGGTATCAGACTATGTCGAATGAAGCTGCATCTCATTTGGAATTCAAATATTCACGACTACGTTCGGAATTCGATGAACAAATGGGACAAGCGAGCGCAATTATGGTACATGTGGGCGCTGATGCGAATGCTCACATCAATCAACTCAGACTGGAACTGGAAAACGCAGAGATGAATGCCAAGCAAGAAGCTCTAGCGGTCGGTTACGCTAATGACCAAACATGTGCTTTACAGATCGAGATGCTCGAGGTTGCCAATCAGAACCAGACGATGAAGCACACCATGGCCATGAATGTTAGAAGACTGGAAACTGAGCTCGATGCCGCTGACATGAAGAGGGACGAGATCATGAAGGAGTTCCGTAGTAACATAAGATCTGAACATGACCGTTATGCAGAATGTGAACATCACTTAGCTTTGGAAGAATCACAGCTTCGATTGCAGGTGATCCACAGTGAAAACTTACAATCTCGACTAGCGATTTCTGAGAACAGAGTATCTGAAGAATCTCTAGCTGAATCAGGCGGCATGCGGGACATGAGGATAATGGGACTACGTTCTGAACTACACATGAAACAAAGTCTTTTAGATCGAATGCAACAACAACTGACTGAATCGAAGAATCAGTATCATGAACTTTCCTGTCAACAAGCCAGAAGATCTTCACCAAGCAGATCACCGCATGGAGGACCTCTATACGAGATGTATATGCAAGCCGTGCGTGAGCGTGACAGCTTGAAGGAATCCAAGGCTGAAGTTGACAAGTTGTACCTGCAGAACAAATCTGAACTCATTGACACTGAGGACCTGCTCAAAGTCTTCCAGCGAAACTTTGATGAAACTGGTAAGAAATATCAAGATGCTCTGAACAAGATCGATCACATGAGCAACAATCCGAATGTGACGAGTACCTTGTTTGACAGTTTGCACAATGAACTCAATGACAGGGACACAGCTATTGCTCGCCTTCATACTGAACTTGAAGCCCAAAAGGACTCTCTTGAGCGTGCTCACAGGGATGCAGGTAAGTCCATCAAGATGTTGAACGACAAAAGACTCGTGATCAAAGGTGCGACTGACTATTCCATTCCCGGAAGCCATTTGACCGAGATGCATCAATTGGCCAATGAGCGTTACGCTGAGGTAGAAGAGATGTCGAGCACCATTGCTGCCCTGAAATTGGAAAACCAAGCTCATTCTTCTTCATCAAAGAATAGACCGACTACATTACATGGGTACCCCAGTAATGCTATGCCTCGGAATGAATGTGAAGAGAAGTGTGCCAAACTGAAAGCAGAGTTGGACGAGATGAAGCAAGAGAAGAACAATGAAGTTCGGAATCTTCAAGATGAGTTGAAGAAGATGGAAGATCGGAAAGATTATTACAAGAACAATTTCTCTCAAGCTGAAGATCGTGCCAATGATGAAGAGCAGGAATACCGAGCAGAAGCTGAAGCCTTCGAGAAGCTCAGGAACGAGTACAACACCAATGTCAAGGAGTTGGAGAACCTTGAAAGGGATAGATCCAAGTCATCCGTATCTCTAAGAGAAGCCGAAAAGATCAGCCTCCAACCCTGGCCTAAGACCACTGAACTTTCATCCTGGAAGGGAAGTGTTGTTCATGAAGTTTGCGTTGCAAGTGGAGATCGAAACTATGAAGATTGGAAAGCGTGGCTAGCTCCGTGTCTTGCAGATCAACCTGACTTGGAGGTTCTGCCAAAAGCTCCTGATGTGAGATTCCAATCCATTGATGCCAAGCTCTCCAATGCCTTGAGAAAAGTCATTGACAATGCTGGGGACAAGTCCATGCAAGTGAAGTATGACATGTCCATGAAGAACCAATTGTATGGGAGAAGTGGGGACTTCATCAAGGGACGAGAACTATTTGCAATGATATTGATTAGCTTCAAGTCACCTGACCATACTGAAGTTCTCTACAATGCCCATCATTTGTATATGTTCAACTATTATGGAGATGATCAGCTTGAGGCATTCTACAACAAGTGGCTTGACATCGTATACAATATGAAACATGATGATCTGCCTTCCAACAATTCCCTGCGTGACACATTGTTCCGGAAGATTGAACATTCAAAGCTTATGGCCTTCGATATCAACCGATACAAAACCTTTGATGAAGGGCATCCTGAGAAGACCTATACTTACCTAACTGGTATGATCAAAGGATACATAGCACGAGGGAAGCAAGAACGACTGTTGAAAGATAGAGAACGTGCAGTGAAACTGTCATTGTCCTCGAACAAGACGACACCTGCCTTAGAAGATGCAGACAAGCCTGCTGCTCCCGTCAAAACCAAGAAGGAGAACGAAGCAGCCGCATCGTCTATAGGTGATCCTCCCAAACGTCCTAAGGCGAAAGCGAAGAGTGAAGCTGCATCAGTACTTCCTACACCTTCTCCGAAGTCTCATGCCGACAAGAACAACAAGAAAGGCAAAGGTGGGAAGGGGAGATCATCTTCACCCGTGGACAAGAAGAAGATTTTCTGTAACTATTTCTTCAATAAAGGAGGATGCAACAAAGGTGACAAATGTCTTTACAGTCATTCTCAAAAGGTCTATGATGCCAAGGTGAAAGGTAAGAAAGGCAGAAGCGGAAGTCGAGATTCATCAAGAGGGAAAAGTAGAGGAAGTTCATCTTCAGCTGGACCCAAAAAGAAGATATGTTGGAATTGGCAAGAGGGTACCTGCAAGTTTGGAAGCAAATGTAAATTCCTACATGCAGATAAATCGCCTTCAGCATCCTCAGAGAGAACCAGCAAGAAGACGCCAAAGAAGAAGGCGACTCCCATTACCATTGATTCCTTCTTTGATAGCGACAACGAAGATTCCATGGATTATACCTCACCGAGGATAGCCAGTGCAAAGAAGTCTTCTGATGATCGCAGAATCTCATTTGATCTGGAACCTGAGGTGCACGAGATTGCTATTGAGGACTATCAGGAGGGACTACCCAAACGTATGTATCGTGACCCCAACAAGCAGTATGTCTTCTGGAAAGTCGATGATTTGACCGACGATCAATCCAAGTCCGACAACACCCTCGGTTCAGTCCGAGCACGGGCCAAGGCTATCATCATGGACAGATGTGGACTCCATCGTTTCGTTGATGAAGTTAGAATCATCATTGGCCCCAAATTCGACATGTTGATCAAACTGGACAATGATCGTGATGACTTGACTTTTATTGAAGAACTTGTTGAACACGAAGTTGGAAACTCCCTCATGAAGTCCAAGAACATAATGTGCATTTCACTACCAGTGCAAGCCAAAGATCGTAGATTCATCCTGGATTCTGGAAGCGGACATGACCTGATTTCTGCAAGGAAAGCCGAAAGGTTGAACTTGAAGCAACGAACTTGTGATCCTATCATGTTCCACACAGCCAACGGTTCAACTGCTACTCAGACGGAAGCAGAGATTGACCTGGGAACCTTTGATGTGATCTCTCATGCCTATGTACTGGACGACACTCCGTCCGTGATGTCTCTTGGGAAACGATGCATGGAAGAGGGATACTCCTTTATATGGCCTTCTGGTAAAATGCCTTTCTTGATTACAAAGGATGGTGAGCGCATCGACCTGACAATCCACGATAACATTCCTTATGTTGATCTTGGAACATATGAATGCACTCCTCATGAATGCCATCATGCATCGGAGATCCATGACCTTTTGACACATTCTCAAATTGGAGTCGATGACTTCAACGATATTATTAGTAATATTGGTCAATCCTCACGGAGAGTACATCTCGACGGAGAGAGTGGTCTGGAGACATCGACTGAGAATCACAATTGTTCCCGACACGTCAAAAAGCTCAAGAAGAAGAAGAAGAGAAGAACAATGAACCGGCAGAAACATTCAGCAACCCCTGGAGAAGAAGAAGAGGAACCACCTGAGGGCGGCGAGTATGAACCAGGAACTCCGATTGACGATCCTCATGGGGACGAGACTGACCTTGAAGATGATGGTCATGGTGCTCCTGAAGATGCCGCTGAAGGTGATGAAGATGACATAGAGATCGATGTTGTCGAAGGTGAATCCAGGGTAGCCAAAAGAGGAACACTCAAGAGAGAAGCTAATAGCTTGAATCACAAGTTGACCCACAGATACAAGAATCCGTATTGCGACTCATGCATTCGAGCAAAGATGAAGCATTTCAAGACTCGTCGTGGTGCATACAAGAGGGAACTCAAGAAGTTTGGCGACCTCATTACCTTTGATGCGGTGGACACATCCAAAGTCCATGATGACGTGTTGGTCCTCGAGAAGGAAGTGTTGGTTGTCAGAGACTGTTATACAGGAATCATTGGTGCTTATCCATCTGACCGAATGACCAAAGATGATGTAGTTAGAGCAGTGAAACAGTTCATCGGTGCCAAGAAGGTAAGACAGGCCTACTCTGATCATGCTCCTCAATTCATTGAAGCCATGAATGAGATGAAGATACCAATTGATCATTCATTGCCTGGAAGACCTCAAACCAATTCAATTGCCGAAAGGACGAACCAGTTTATTCTCACAGCTACTTCTACATGTCTTTTGGAAGCTGGATTACCACCATGTTTCTGGAGAACAGCAATCCTTTGTGTATGTCATCTACTTAACGTGGAACCCAACGATGATGAATTGAGCGCTTGGTGCAAACTCCATGGATCTGAATTTGCTGGCAAACTCATTCCCTATGGTGCTCGTGTGAACTACAAGCCTCCGAAGACCAGAGAAGCGGGACAACTTCACAAGTTTGGGCCTGATTCTATTCCAGGAGTGTTTGCAGGGTATCACATTGGTCCAGGGATGCATTGGTCAAGACAATACAAAGTATGGCCTCTGAGTGAGTTCGTACATCAGAATCTTGGTGACGATGCTAGCAAACCTGAACACCGTCTTCTCAAACCTCATTTGACTGAAAAGGTCGAGATGGTCACCCCATTGACATTTCCATGCAAGCAAGAATATGAGAGGGTGAATACCACATTGGAAGGAATGAAAGAAAGAGAAATCCTCGATGGCGATCCCTCCAAAGTGCCTCATGGAGATGACGAAGAACATGACCAAGATGAAGATGATGATGAGCTTGATGACGGAGACGACGGTGGACCTGGACCAAGTGGTGGAAAAGTCTCAAAGAAGCCTCTCGATGACCCTGAGGATATCTTCGACAAAGACAAAGATCCAGAAGAGATGACCCTCCAGGAACTGATTGACGCCCAACCAGATCATTGGAAGAAGGGCAAAGCTGGAGATGGGAAGGTATACCTCAATGACGATGGTGAGAAGGTCAAGTTGAACGTCAAGGGTTACCCATACAAGATTGGAGATGACGGTAGACGAATGTTCAGGACGTCATTGCGTCCCAAAGAAACCTATTCTCCTGAAGAATGGCGCAAACTCTCTCAATCTGATCGGAATACCATCCTCAAAGCCGAGAAGAAGAAGTTGGAGAAGAAAGAGGCCGATGACAAAGCCAAAAGATTGGTCGAGGAAAAGAAGAAGAAGGCAACGAAGAAGGAGAAGAAAGATTCAAAGAAAGACAAGGACGAGCCAAAGTCCAAGGACGATGAAGGTGGTGATGAAAGTAAGAAGGATGACTCTCATTCAAAGTCAAAGAAATCCGATGCAGGTGTTGGTGAAGTTGTGAAAAACAAAGTTACCTTACCTATCACATGTACAAGTACTTATCTTGATTTGTACGACATAGTCGATGATGACGATGTACATGGAAGACGATACATTGATTGTCGAAAAGTGAAAAGGAATGCTGATGCTAGTCCATGTTCCGATGCTTCTACTGACGTCCCGGACGACGAGGAATATCTCACTGAATGGGATGAATGGTCAGAGGTCGAGAAAGGACGTGGCCCAAAAGCATCATGGAGTGGTGAAGTTTGGAGCACATTGTCAGGTGAGATTTCGAGGTTTTCCATGGCTACGCCAGGAGAGTCGACAATGATCAAAAATGGCAAATGTGTTAGCGTCAAGAACGTAAAGAACATAGCCACTGATGATGATGAATATATCCCTTTCCCAACTATGCCGTGTACTTCTGCATCAAATCAAAGTCACCGAACCAAGATATCATCAGAAGGTCTTGGAAGCAAACTTTTCAATGCAATGGTTTCACGACCTGTGGGCAGAGCCGAGATTGAGTCTAACCCAAAGGCCAAAGAGGCAATGCTCAAGGAGTGGAAAGGCCTTCGTGATCAAGAGGTATTTGACTTTACAATGGTTCGTGAATACGACGATGTTGTTGCAGAGGCCAAAAAGAACAAAAAGGAAGTACATATGGCCAGGGTCCATGGCATATGTGTGGAGAAGAATTACCAGCTGTCAGAAGACAATCCTGGACGAAAGTTCAAGGGAAGAGGCGTTCTGCTAGGGAACCAGGTGAAGAATCAGCATTGGGAGGCAGCATTCTTCCAAGATTTGGGAAATTCCCCTGCTTCCTTCGAAGCCTCACGTTGGGCAGATTTTTACGGATGTCTTCCTGGGCACTCCGTCAAGTTGGCAGATGCGATTCAGGCTTACATCCAGGCTAAGTTGAAGGGACCTTTGTGTTGGGTGGAGTTACCCACTGATGCATGGCCTCCGGAGATACAGTATTGGAAGTTCCGTCGCCCTGTCGTAAGACTCGACAAAGCCCTGTATGGACACCCTGATTCAGGCACGATGTGGGAACAACATTGTGACAAGAAAGTTCAAGAAATTGGTTTTAAGCCCATTGGTGAGGAATGGCCTTCTATGTATTTTCATGATGAGCTCAAATTGCTGTTGGTAATCTATGTGGATGACCTTAAGCTTGCTGGGCCCTCCGAAAATCTGGCCAAAGGTTGGGATATGCTGCGCACTGTTCTGCGCATTGAACCCGAAACCGACTTGGGACTTTACTTAGGATGTGTTTTATCCCAAGGTGAGACCCAATTGCATAATGGTAAGAAAGTCAAGACCATAACTTATAACATGGAAGGATTGTTAAAGTTATCGGTGGAAAAGTATCTTGACATCATTGGTAAGGACACAAAATTGAAAAAGGTATCAACTCCAAGCCTTCCAGAGGAAACGAAAAGCAGCCCGTATCGAGCTCCTTCCGATGGAAAACGCAAAGTTGAGTGTCCTTGGTGTGCACATTCCTTCGATCCAGATATGCCTGCTCTCTCTGAGACTGGCAACTCACGTCCTGCGCAAGACAGTGAGATGCTGAGCCGTGGGAATCTAGCTCCGCATGCAGCTAGTGTGCTGATGAAGCTGCTTTATGCAGCCCGCATTGCGCGGTTTGACCTGTTGAGATCCATCAATGCTTTAGCACGTAATGTGACTAAATGGACAAAGGATGATGACGCCCGTCTTCATCACCTAATGTGTTATGTTAATTCCACATTGTCCCTCAAAATGATAGGATGGGTCGGAGACAAAATTGAAGATTTATCGTTAGGACTATTTGCAGATGCGGATTTCGCTGGATGTGCCCAATCCTTGAGATCAACTTCAGGATCGCACTTACAAGTCCAAGGTAAGTTCACAAGATTCCCACTTGCTGGTGGAAGTAAGCGACAAGGGTGTGTTAGTCATTCTACCCCCGAAGCTGAAATTGTGGCTGCAGATACTGCACTTAGGACTCTAGGAATCCCCGCATTAAGTCTGTGGAAAGTCTTAGCCAAAGTTTTTCCTCAACTCCTGTTTCATGACGATAATCAAGGTATGATTGGTGTTGTCAGATCAGGACGGAACCCAACCATGCGTCATTTGGAGCGCACACATGGTATTTCCATTGCCTCCATGCATGAACATTTCCAAAAGGATCATTTTGTATTGATCTATGAAATTACAGCCAAAATGGCAGCCGATATCCATACTAAAGGGTTCAAGAATCCCATGGCATGGAAGAAAGCTTGTATGCTAATCAACTTGTTGGAACCTCAGGACTTGCAGAGCAAAGAAGTCTTAGACATGTTGCAGCTAAGCACCGATGTCGATATGACTACTCGCCAAGTTTTCCAATCCAAGACTGAGGATATCCCAAACTTCCCATACACGGAAACCCCTATTTTGCCAAAAGAAGTGTATAGGAAGGGTTTGACTAGTAAAGAGAAGCTACAATACCTGCCAGGTATGGATCCCATTTTTGTCGTCAAGCAACCGGTGTTTTATCGTCCTAGGCCACCCGGCCTGATTGTGCCACCAGATGTATTGAGATCCACATGGGTTCTTCTCAATGGTACTTGGACAAAGGTCGAACACCGTGCATCTCCGCCAGAGCAGGCCATCAGATTTGATAAGTGGGTTGAACGAGCGTGTTTTCAGTATCATTCGCCTAACAAGCAGCCGTTGATCCCGGACACTGTTTCACAATCCGTTTCAACGACCTCAACCCACCGGGTGATGTCGTCAAAGCACGTGCATGCCCCGCCTGCCCACTCGAGATCACTACGTGACTCGTGTGCGTCAACACAACAAGACCGTGTACAGCATTTGACCGATTCACCAATGCTGATGTTCTCGGTTGATGCCTTGTTTTTAGATGCACAGACATCACCGTCTCAACACCCGAAATCCATTCACCAGTGCCTTCAGCCAGCCACACGTGTGATCAATACGCTTATGCGCCTTGTTCATGGGGGGAGTGAGGGTGAAGGATGTAGTGAGAGTGAAGGAAAGGGGCACCCACAGTCCACTTCAACACCTGGCCTATGTCATTCGCATCCGGAATTGGACATCAATGATAACATTCCGTTTGTAAAATCCACCCGAAAATCCCAAGTGTTAGGTAAGAAAAATGAAGACCATTGGCAGTGGGATGGGAAAGAGACATTGATCCGAATTCACAAAACGCCAAGAAGGCAAAACTTTGTACCACAGGATTGCGAAGACTGTCCTTGTGACCCTAGGATCATATGTGATGAGAGGGAAACTGAACAAAAGTTCAAAACTAACACTCGAGTGATCAAAGACATATGGAGATTCAAAGGCGACAATCATGAGTCAACAAACAAGTTGAATGAATTTTGGACTGGAAAATCGACATTCAAGGTGCTCGCCAATGCTGAAGTGATCGATGGAGGTAAGAACTGTAAAGTGAGTCAGGGAGTAATCACGCTATGCACCAATTGCAATGACGTGAATACTATTCCCATCACTGATGTTTTTGTCCCCTATCAGTATCACATTGAAGTAGGCAAACATGAGGTTGACCATCCCAAAGTGTCGGTAATCCTTTGGAGAGAAAAGAAAAACAGAACTTTGGAATTTCAATTTTCCAAATCACCTTGTGACTTGATGACATCAAAATTTGCGAAGTTTTCCCTTGCAATCAATTTGATCGAAGTTCCTCAAGCCGTCCCATGCTTCGTCTTGTTATGTTCGGAAGAGAGAAACTGGTTTACGTTCTTGCAGAACAAAATGAAGGACGAAATGAAGTTTCATGTCGTACCAATCACCGAAGATGACGACATGCTCTCTCCGTACGGAATAAGTAAAGCAAGGCGATGCCTTCGGACCAAACTTGATTCAATGTTCTTTGCAGGTCCATGTACAGCAGGTTCACCATGGAACCGAATCAACCGATGGGTGAGCGAAGCAACAACACAACTCATCGAAGCAAAGAAGCAGATCTTCTGGGCGATGTGGGAAGTGTTTGCATCAGTGCTAAGTGAACTCATCAACATGGGATCACCAACTTTGCTTGAATTGCCTAGAGGTTGTGACTACTGGAAGGACCGTAGAATGACTGATCTTGTAGAAGGAACCGTATCTCATGAGCACAAGTTTGATGGATGCATGTATGGCTTGAAATCACAGTTTCAAGAGACTCCCAAACCAATCAAGAAACCTTGGAAGATTGTTACCTGGGGGGTGTCTTTTCCGAAGCTTCATAGAAGATGTGATCGCCGTCATGACCATGCAGAGTGTGCCGGTAGGGAAACTCGCATTACTCAAGTTTACACCAAATGGATAGCCAAGATAATCATGAATGGAATCAATGAACATGTAATCAGAAATAGTCCATTTGTGAACGTCAGAGTGATGAAACGTTGGAAGCCGCTTGCATGTGATGAACAACTGAAAGCTGAAATGTCTCGTGATTCCGAGAATGTCTGCAGTCACCCAATCAAGTCGGTGGCAACATCCGTTTGTGCTACTCGAGAGCTCGACGCCATTGACCATTCGTTCGAGCGATCGCTACTGCACT